GTCTTGGGTTTGAATCCCAGTCGGAACAGGGCCTTTCTGAGTGGAGTTTGTATGTTCTCCCTGTGTCTGTGTAGGTTTCCTCCAGATGCTCCGGTTCCCCTACCACTAAAAACCTGCACAATAGGTCTGAATGTAAACGAGAGAGTGAATGGATGGTGTTGATTGGAGCTGATGGTCCAGTGTGTTCTGGACTCGCTTCTGTCATCACCGTGTGTGGAATGAATATCTGAACTATATAAATAAACATTACTTGCTTCTCCTTCTTCTTCTTTACCTCCTTCTTCTCATTCTTTATTTGTCCAACAGTGAGAGACCAGAGAAAGACCAGAAGAGACCAGAGTGAGAGACCAGAGAGAGACCAGAGGGAGACCAGAAAGACAGACCAGAGTGAGACCAGAGGGAGACCAGAAAGACAGACCAGAGTGAGAGACCAGAGAGAGACCAGAGGGAGACCAGAGGGAGACCAGAGGGAGACCAGAAAGACAGACCAGAGTGAGAGACAAGAGAGAGACCAGACAGACCAAAAAAAGAAGGGAGACCAGAAAGACAGACCAGAGTGAGAGACAAGAGAGAGACCAGACAGACCAAAAAAAGACCATTTAAAATATAACGGTATTCTCTTTATTCCTACTGTTCTGTAACCTGTGATGCAACACTGACATTTCCCCACAGTCAAACAAATAAAGTTTCTCTTCTTAAAGCTGCACTAACTGACTTTGGGATTTTGAAGCCGTGGACTCGCTGACCTCTCTCTTTCTGCTCCCCTCCCCGCACCCACGAAGCTATCGCCCCCCACACACACCCACTGTTGGGACGGAGCTAGCGTCTCCCAATATGGATAATACATGGATATGGATTTACACGTGGATGGCGTGACCATAAAACGATAAAACCGGGAAGCGCGGAGGAACGGGACTTTCTTTTGGATGGCTGTTTCGCTGTGTAAGCAGTAACCGGTGATGAAGACGAGGAAGTTTCAGGTTAGCTCCGCCGCTTGTTGTGCTAACTCAGCCGTCTATGCTAACGGACCTGGAGATTTCTCACGAAAGTGGGGGCTAGTGGTCCGTTGTGATTGGTCACAATCTGCGACCCGAAACACATTCTCTTCCTTGTTTCATCAAAACTCGATCTAAAATATAATGTCACGCCAGCACAAATCTGCGCTACTTTTTCTTCAAAAGGACGTATATCCCAATGCACTGCATGGATATGGATGGCATTTTTGTAATGAATACGAAAATAAAGTCAGTTAGTGCAGCTTTAATTTGAGTGAGATTATGGCCCCAGACTGAACCATAACTCAGCCCTAATGTGACATCACAGTCTTCACACGTCCTCACATTCTCGTCTCCAGACCCGACCGTTGCCGTGGTTCTTGCTCTGCTCTCCCTCTGTGTCCCGCTCGCACTGTGTGAATGTCAGCCCCCCCACAGCGCCCCCTCCTGCCGAGCGGAGCGCTGCAGCGGCTCAGCACGACGTCCCATTACTGATTAATACCAGCGCTTCAGCGGCGTTCAATTAAGAGCCCACCGCCGCACGCCGCCGTCTGCCCCCACAGGACCACGTCTGGAGGAGAGATTTATGCAGCGACAACATCTGGAGCAGTCTTCCTGGAAATGTGAGACAGGCTTCTTCTCTGACAATGTTGGAATCCAGATTAAATCCATGGTAACGTGCACAAAATAGTAGTAAGAAGATATTCTAATATATGTTGATAGATAGATAGATACTTCATTGATCCCCGTCGGAGAAATTCATGTGTCCAGTTGCCGCAAAAACAAAAAATAAAATGTATCATTCAAAAAAGCTAACACTAGTAATAATCAGCAACAGCCCTTCAGGTCACAGCAGCAGAGGTGGAGTAGCCTCTGGGTGGAGCAGGACGGGTCACAGCAGCAGAGGTGGAGTAGCCTCTGGGTGGAGCAGGACGGGTCACAGCAGCAGAGGTGGAGTAGCCTCTGGGTGGAGCAGGACAGGTCACAGCAGCAGAGGTGGAGTAGCCTCTGGGTGGAGCAGGACGGGTCACAGCAGCAGAGGTGGAGTAGCCTCTGGGTGGAGCAGGACGGGTCACAGCAGCAGAGGTGGAGTAGCCTCTGGGTGGAGCAGGACGGGTCACAGCAGCAGAGGTGGAGTAGGCTCTGGGTGGAGCAGGACAGGTCACAGCAGCAGAGGTGGAGTAGCATTTTCTCTGCTCTAGTCCAAAGTCAAATGCTTCATGCTTCATTAGCATTTTCCAAAAGTCAGCATTCCTCCAGTGGATTTGCACCTGGTCCACTTGGTTCGGACCATGAATCCTCTCCGCTCCGGTCTGGACCAGTGTAAAACCATGAAGACTTTACTGCAGCAACATCTCAGGTAGAAAAAAGCAAGAAAAATGAAATTTATAAAGCACAAAATAACAACTGTTTCAGAGAAACTCAGGACCTGCTGCTGTTTTCCAGAACATAAAAAACAAGTATATAAGTATTATGTATGACATATTTTACCGATCTGATATGACTGTATATATATGTGTGTGTGTGTGTGTGCTTTGTAAATAAAGTTTGATTGATTGAAATGTGAAGTACCTACACATCTATGGGCAGAAGGAACACAGTAAAAACACATGATCTTAGTGTTTAGTATTTACCCACTGAATTTAAAACCATGACCGAGTTAAAAAAAAACTTCTCGAGTTAAGTCCTGGCTCAAATCAAAACAGAATTGTACCCATTTGTAAATTTGTAAATAGCACTGACTTTGTGTAAATGATTTAAACAGTGTAAATAGTTTTTAAGATAATATTGAAAATGTGAATGTAGCGTAGTGAGAATTAGCATTAGCTTGTTTTGTTCTATGTTGACTTGCAACGTCCCTGTCGAATGAATGAATAAATGAATAAAACACAGGTGAGACGACACGCAGAGGCTCAGCAGGACTCGTTGTACAGTCTGACAGCAGTGAAACCTCTCCTTGACACAGCGACCGAATCTGGGTCTGTCACTATTGAGATGAAAACAAAAGGAGCAGAGACAGAAAAGTGGAGACATGTTGTGAGTAATGCATCATTCAACACTGCAGGTCATGACGCACACCGACCCATAGGGGGCAGGTGTCTGGGGTGGGGGCTCCAGCTGAGACCCAGTGTACTCTGTCCCAGGTCCAGGCTGCTGTGGGACTAGCGTCAAACTAGAGCTAGCATTATAAGCAGCAACAAGATTATTTATTATTTTTAATTCAATTGCATTTTTGTACCGCCCTAAATCACAATAAATCACTCTCAGAGGTGTTTACAAAGTTGTCGATTCACCAACAACAGATCAGAGAATCAAACAGTTCAAACACAAGAAAGGCAACGATTAAAAAAAACAATTTAAATACAGCTGCACTGAGGAGCAGGACAAGAGAGAGACCAGAGAGAGACCAGAGAGAGACCAGAGAGAGACCAGAGAGAGACCAGAGAGAGACCAGAGAGAGACTAGAGAGAGACCAGAGAGAGACCAGAGAGAGACCAGAGAGAGACCAGAGAGAGACCAGAGAGAGACCAGAGAGAGGCCAGAGAGAGACCAGAGAGAGGCCAGAGAGAGAGACCAGAGAGAGACCAGAGAGAGACCAGAGAGAGAGACCAGAGAGAGACTAGAGAGAGACCAGAGAGAGACCAGAGAGAGACCACAGAGAGACCAGAGAGAGACCAGAGAGAGACCACAGAGAGACCAGAGAGAGGCCAGAAAGAGACCAGAGAGAGACCAGAGAGAGACCAGAGAGAGATCGAAGTGAGACCAGCGAGAGACCAGAGAGAGACCAGAGATACACCAGAGAGACCAGGGAGAGACCAGAGAGAGACCAGAGAGAGACCAGAGAGAGGCAAGAGAGAGACCAGAGAGAGGCCAGAGAGAGATCGAAGTGAGACCAGCAAGAGACCAGAGAGAGACCAGAGATAGACCAGAGAGAGACCAGAGAGAGGCAAGAGAGAGGCCAGAGAGAGGCCAGAGAGAGACCAGAGAGAGACCAGAGAGAGACCAGAGAGAGGCCAGAGAGAGACCAGAGAGAGACCAGAGAGACCAGAGAGAGACCAGAGGGAGAGAGGCCAGAGAGAGAAACCAGAGAGAGCCCAGAGAGAAACCAGAGAGAGCCCAGAGAGAGGCCAGAGAGAGACCAGAGAGAGACCAGAGAGAGACCAGAGAGAGGCCAGAGAGAAACCAGAGAGAGACCAGAGAGAGACCAGAGAGAGGCCAGAGAGAGACCAGAGAGAGACCAGAGAGAGACCAGAGAGAGACCAGACAGAGGCCAGAGAGAGGCCAGAGAGAGGCCAGAGAGAGACCAGAGGAACCAGAGATAGACCAGAGAGAGCCTAGAGTGAGACTACTACTACTACGACTAAAAGTCCAACACAGAGACGCCTCTGCGTTCACCGTTATCTTACATCATCGCTGCTCGTGAGTGTTTGGTCCGAGATCTGAACTTGAACTCAATCTGTCCGTCGGCGTTAGCGTCAGAGGCGCTCGGCCAATCAGACGCAGGCGGACGTCTCACCGACCAATCCTGGCGCAGCATCTCGGAGGTGTGTTCTTAAAGTGGAAGAGCACATTTACACCGTGACTCAATAATTTAGACTCATAAAGATCATGAAAATGTGATCTCTCCTTCACCCTGGACTCACTACGAGAGGGAGGCAGAGTAAGTGCTGGAAGTTATAGTGAGTAATCTTTATTAACAAGAACGACAATGAGCTCTTTCGCCGCATTAACGTGGGTGAATTCACTTAAGTCTGGTCTTAAGATGCATTTTTAATCTCTGGCTTTGAACAGACACTGAGTGAGTTGTGTGGTCCTCTACTTTTTTATTTTATTGTTATATATTTTTATTTTTTGAATTATGGATATAGATAATTGTTTTTATTTACTATATTAATTTTTTATTTACTATATTAAGTTTGTCTATTATTTCATTTATTTTATTTATTTTATTTATTTTATTTACTTTATTTTTTATTTTTTATTTTTTTATTTTTTTTTTATTTATTATTATTATTATTATTATTATTATTTTATTTTATATGTATGACTTGTATATTCCAATGTGTTACTTTGATCAGTGCAGCCCTTTGGGGACGTGTTTTATAAAATATGCTATATAAATAAAGTGGATTGGAGTCAACACTGGAGGCTGGAATCTTGTGAACGAAAGGGCAGAATTCCACTGTGAAAAAATACAGAAATAAATAATTATACCATTTTGGACTTTTCTATTAAAGCTACTTAGACCAGAGAGAGACCAGAGACAGACCAGAGAGAGAGACCAGAGAGAGACCAGAGAGAGACCAGAGAGAGACCAGAGAGAGACCAGAGAGACCACGGAGAGGCCAGAGAGAGACCAGAGAGAGACCAGAGAGAGACCAGAGAGAGACCAGAGAGAGAGACCAGAGAGAGAGACCAGAGAGAGACCAGAGAGACCACGGAGAGGCCAGAGAGAGACCAGAGAGAGACCAGAGAGAGACCAGAGAGAGACCAGAGAGACCACGGAGAGGCCAGAGATAGACCAGAGAGAGACCAGAGATAGACCAGAGAGAGACCAGAGAGAGACCAGAGAAAGAGACCAGAGAGAGAAACCTTTAATCCAGTGGTCTCAAACCTTGTGGACCCCTTCTGACAGTTTGGGCTAAAATGGCATGTTATACATAGTTTTAAAGCTTAATTTTTGCAGAAAACAACCAAGCCCATTATTTATGCATAAACCATGAACCCTGATTACAATAAGTTATAATTCAAAGTAAACATTGTTCAGCCCAGAAGTCTATACTCTGCCTTTATCGCCTTGGGTCCAGTTTGGTGTCGATCCAAGCTCCAGGACTAGTTTTCTAGGCTTCTTTGTCTCTGTTTCGAGCCAAAACGTTGTCTTTCCTCAACTATTAATGTTAAAGAATGAGAGAATTAGAAAGTTTTAAATGTAGCAGTGAGTTATAATTATACAGAAGATAAACTGTGTGTGCAAAGTAAAAAGAGAGATGCCAGAGAGAGACCAGGGAGAGACCAGAGAGAGACCAGAGAGGGACCAGGGAGAGACCAGAGAGAGACCAGAGAGGGACCAGAGAGAGACCAGAGAGGGACCAGGGAGAGACCAAAGAGGGACCAGAGAGAGACCAGAGAGGGACCAGAGAGAGACCAAAGAGGGACCAGAGAGAGACCAAAGAGGGACCAGAGAGAGACCAGAGAGGGACCAGGGAGAGAGAGACCAGAGAGAGACCAGGGAGGGACCAGAGAGGAACCAGAGAGGGACCAGAGAGAGACCAGAGAGGGACCAGAGAGAGACCACGATATATTATTTTACTGTATCTGTTATTATCTGTTTATCAAATCTTGGAATTTTTTTGTTTCTTCCTGGCAGTCTAGAATGATCCCATAGATATTGTCTCAAACAGCAATCTTATAAGTGCAAATGAGCTGCTTTTCCATCTACACACATGATGTGTACACACAAACACACACACACACACACACACACACACACACACACACACACACACACACACACACACATCTATAGGTCGTGGTTTTGGAGCCTAAGGCAGAGTCAGAGAATAAATATTTGATGGGAGGATGACCCACTTCCTGTGCCCTGAAAAGTTATTTGTCTTTCTGCTGCATCCAGGCCTCTCTCCTCCAGGCCCCAGAGCCGCAGAGAGAAACAAGGAGGAGAGAGAGAGGAGAGAGAGGAGAGAGAGAGGAGAGAGGGAGGAGAGAGGCTGTCAGAGAGAAAGAAGGAGGAGGAGGTGATCAAAATGACGAGAGAGGCCACAGAGGTTAAAAACAGCAGCGATTTATTCATGTTGAAGATTATGAGACATGAGAATAGACGTTTGTTGCTTGTAAAGGTCCTTGGGAAGAACAAAACGTCTTAATATTCATCTGTCTCTGAAGATTCCTTCATAAAACTAGAGCAAAGTCCGTTCTCATGTCTCAGAACTTCACTGTGTTTATGTTCAGAGGTGTCCAAAGCTCCAAAGACAGGACAGGTCTAAAGTTAATATCGTGTTTTAATTGATTGACTGCGGAACCTTCCGCAGTCAACCATTGGTTTTGTATTTCTTTATTCCGTCATTTTTTTTGACACGTTTCACAGCTTTCACATTTTCAACAATTTCCACAAGTTATACATCAAAACGTTCCACATGTTTGGGAGATTATTGCTATTACTTTTGGGACTTCAGCGATTTCCGGTTTTTCCGCAATCGGACAAAAATCTGCATTGAGAATTCTGCAATGCATTTTAATAGGCCCATGCATTTTAATAGGACTTCAGCTCTTTCAGACATTTCTACAGTTTCAATGATTCAACAGTTTCAAGGATTCAACAGTTTCAAGGATTTCAGCAGTTTCAAGATTTCAAGAGTTTCAAGGACTTCAACAGTTTCAAGGACTTCAGCAGTTTCAAGGACTTCAGCAGTTTCAAGGACTTCAGCAGTTTCAAGGACTTCAGTGTAATCATGCAACCTAATAGGGATTTTTCCATGTAAACCAGTATAATGCAACTTAATAGGGATTTTTCCATGTAAACCAGTATAATGCAACTTAATAGGGTTTTTTCATGTAAACCAGTATAATGCAACTTAATAGGGTTTTTTTTCATGTAAACCAGTATAATGCAACTTAATGGGGATTTTTCCATGTAAACCAGTATAATGCAACTTAATAGGGGTTTTTACATGTAAACCAGTATAATGCAACTTAATAGGGTTTTTTATTGATTGACTGCGGAACCTTCCGCAGTCAACCATTGGTTTTGTATTTCTTTATTCCGTCATTTTTTTGACACGTTTCACAGCTTTCACATTTTCAACAATTTCCACAAGTTATACATCAAAACGTTCCACATGTTTGGGAGATTATTGCTATTACTTTTGGGACTTCAGCGATTTCCGGTTTTTCCGCAATCGGACAAAAATCTGCATTGAGAATTCTGCAATGCATTTTAATAGGCCCATGCATTTTAATAGGACTTCAGCTCTTTCAGACATTTCTACAGTTTCAATGATTCAACAGTTTCAAGGATTCAACAGTTTCAAGGATTTCAGCAGTTTCAAGATTTCAAGAGTTTCAAGGACTTCAACAGTTTCAAGGACTTCAGCAGTTTCAAGGACTTCAGCAGTTTCAAGGACTTCAGCAGTTTCAAGGACTTCAGTGTAATCATGCAACCTAATAGGGATTTTTCCATGTAAACCAGTATAATGCAACTTAATAGGGATTTTTCCATGTAAACCAGTATAATGCAACTTAATAGGGTTTTTTCATGTAAACCAGTATAATGCAACTTAATAGGGTTTTTTTTCATGTAAACCAGTATAATGCAACTTAATGGGGATTTTTCCATGTAAACCAGTATAATGCAACTTAATAGGGGTTTTTACATGTAAACCAGTATAATGCAACTTAATAGGGTTTTTTATTGATTGACTGCGGAACCTTCCGCAGTCAACCATTGGTTTTGTATTTCTTTATTCCGTCATTTTTTTTGACACGTTTCACAGCTTTCACATTTTCAACAATTTCCACAAGTTATACATCAAAACGTTCCACATGTTTGGGAGATTATTGCTATTACTTTTGGGACTTCAGCGATTTCCGGTTTTTCCGCAATCGGACAAAAATCTGCATTGAGAATTCTGCAATGCATTTTAATAGGCCCATGCATTTTAATAGGACTTCAGCTCTTTCAGACATTTCTACAGTTTCAATGATTCAACAGTTTCAAGGATTCAACAGTTTCAAGGATTTCAGCAGTTTCAAGATTTCAAGAGTTTCAAGGACTTCAACAGTTTCAAGGACTTCAGCAGTTTCAAGGACTTCAGCAGTTTCAAGGACTTCAGCAGTTTCAAGGACTTCAGCAGTTTCAAGGACTTCAGTGTAATCATGCAACCTAATAGGGATTTTTCCATGTAAACCAGTATAATGCAACTTAATAGGGATTTTTCCATGTAAACCAGTATAATGCAACTTAATAGGGTTTTTTCATGTAAACCAGTATAATGCAACTTAATAGGGTTTTTTTTCATGTAAACCAGTATAATGCAACTTAATGGGGATTTTTCCATGTAAACCAGTATAATGCAACTTAATAGGGGTTTTTACATGTAAACCAGTATAATGCAACTTAATAGGGTTTTTTCCATGTAAACCAGTATAATGCAACTTAATAGGGTTTTTTCCATGTAAACCAGTACAATGCAACTTAATAGGGATTTTTCCATGTAAACCAGTATAATGCAACTTAATGGGGATTTTTCCATGTAAACCAGTATAATGCAACTTAATGGGGATTTTTCCATGTAAACCAGTATAATGCAACTTAATAGGGGTTTTTACATGTAAACCAGTATAATGCAACTTAATAGGGTTTTTTCCATGTAAACCAGTATAATGCAACTTAATAGGGTTTTTCCATGTAAACCAGTACAATGCAACTTAATAGGGATTTTTCCATGTAAACCAGTATAATGCAACTTAATGGGGATTTTTCCATGTAAACCAGTATAATGCAACTTAATGGGGATTTTTCCATGTAAACCAGTATTATGCAACTTAATAGGGATTTAAATAGGACTTCAGCTCTTTCAGACATTTCTACAGTTTCAATGATTCAACAGTTTCAAGGATTCAACAGTTTCAAGGATTTCAGCAGTTTCAAGATTTCAAGAGTTTCAAGGACTTCAACAGTTTCAAGGACTTCAGCAGTTTCAAGGACTTCAGCAGTTTCAAGGACTTCAGCAGTTTCAAGGACTTCAGTTCAGACTGTGTAATCATGCAACCTAATAGGGATTTTTCCATGTAAACCAGTATAATGCAACTTAATAGGGATTTTTCCATGTAAACCAGTATAATGCAACTTAATAGGGTTTTTTCATGTAAACCAGTATAATGCAACTTAATAGGGTTTTTTTTCATGTAAACCAGTATAATGCAACTTAATGGGGATTTTTCCATGTAAACCAGTATAATGCAACTTAATAGGGTTTTTTTCATGTAAACCAGTATAATGCAACTTAATGGAGATTTTTCCATGTAAACCAGTATTATGCAACTTAATAGGGATTTTTCCATGTAAACCAGTATAATGCAACTTAATAGGGTTTTTTTCATGTAAACCAGTATAATGCAACTTAATAGGGTTTTTTTTCATGTAAACCAGTATAATGCAACTTAATGGGGATTTTTCCATGTAAACCAGTATAATGCAACTTAATAGGGTTTTTTACATGTAAACCAGTATAATGGAACTTAATAGGGGTTTTTTCCATGTAAACCAGTACAATGCAACTTAATAGGGATTTTTCCATGTAAACCAGTATAATGCAACTTAATAGGGTTTTTTTCATGTAAACCAGTATAATGCAACTTAATAGGGTTTTTTTCATGTAAACCAGTATAATGCAACTTAATGTGGATTTTTCCATGTAAACCAGTATAATGCAACTTAATAGGGATTTTTCCATGTAAACCAGTATAATGCAACTTAATAGGGATTTTTCCATGTAAACCAGTATAATGCAACTTAATAGGGATTTTTCCATGTAAACCAGTATAATGCAACTTAATGGGGATTTTTCCATGTAAACCAGTATAATGCAACTTAATAGGGGTTTTTACATGTAAACCAGTATAATGCAACTTAATAGGGTTTTTTCCATGTAAACCAGTATAATGCAACTTAATAGGGATTTTTCCATGTAAACCAGTATAATGCAACTTAATAGGGATTTTTCCATGTAAACCAGTATAATGCAACTTAATAGGGTTTTTTTCATGTAAACCAGTATAATGCCACTTAATAGGGTTTTTTTCATGTAAACCAGTATAATGCAACTTAATGGGGATTTTTCCATGTAAACCAGTATAATGCAACTTAATATGGGTTTTTACATGTAAACCAGTATAATGCAACTTAATAGGGTTTTTTTTACATGTAAACCAGTATAATGGAACTTAATAGGGTTTTTTACATGTAAACCAGTATAATGGAACTTAATAGGGGTTTTTACATGTAAACCAGTATAATGGAACTTAATAGGGGTTTTTACATGTAAACCAGTATAATGCAACTTAATAGGGATTTTTCCATGTAAACCAGTATAATGCAACTTAATAGGGTTTTTTACATGTAAACCAGTATAATGCAACTTAATGGGGATTTTTCCATGTAAACCAGTATAATGCAACTTAATAGGGGTTTTTACATGTAAACCAGTATAAAGGATAACAGTTTAAAGGATATCAGGAGCTTCAAATACTTCAGGAGTTTCAAAGGATTTTTCAGCTAAATTCCACATTAGATCTGTTCCGCAGTCAATCGCAATGGCTTCAGCCATTGCAAGTTTCTAGTTTATCTTAATCTTTAAATGGTCAACGTTATTATATCTGCCTCTGAGTCCAAATGCAGTAATGAAATCTTGGATGTTGATTTGTTTTCTAGGGACGGTCCAGAAAGATCACATAGTTTAGGATATTGTGAAGGTAAAGATGAACTTTATTTATCCCTGGGGGCAATTCCACCTCTGCATTTGACCCATCCTGATGCCACTAGGGGGTCTATCAGGAGCAGTGGTCGCCATAGTAACACGGCCCGGGAACCCACCTCCAGATGTTGATGCTCGGCTACCGCAGCTGGAGGATTTTACTTATTGTACCGGTTTTTAGTGATTGGGGAAACTGGAGCACCTGGAGGAAACCTATGATGACATGGATGGGGAGAACATGCAAACTCCACTCAGAAAGACCCTGTTCTGACCAGGACCTACTCGCTGAGAGGGTTTTCCACTCAGCTGTTTTTTTTTCTTTCATTTAGCAAAAAACAATTGAGTAAATAATTATGAAGAAATACGGTCTTTTCTAATTATGACTAATAACATGATTGGGAAAAGAATAAAGAAGATTATAAAATTCCATGGAAGCACATTTTACGGCACAAGCCAAACCCAGGTTAGTTTGAGGTTAACGACTAAGAAGTGTCCGGCGGCCGCACAGAAATGGGATTTGGGCCGGATGTGGCTCCCAGGCCGTACTTTACCCAGGTCCGGTCTAAGGCCTGGATCCATAGAGATATAACTTAAAAACAAAAAACACGACAAGTCTGGGGTTTCTTTATTTTCACAACAAAATTTATTAGAAGAATAGTGGTTTTGAAAAGAAGGTTCTAGCATCCAGTGAATACTACCTTACACAACATTACAGCTGAGATGTGTGGCAAAAATGGCAATGTTATTTTTTATTATCAAAGCCAATAAAACATAAAATATTTTACACATGCACAAAGACAGGTCTAATCAGCGTCGTTCAATGCAAAACAAATCAGTATAAATAAAACAACAAATCATTGAAATCATTAAATCAGTTTCATATCTTCTTGTCGAAATAAAATCACAAATATTTTCAGTTCATTAATCGTCCTTAGATCAGCTCGATATTTCAAAGATTGCAGTCAAAAAGGGAGAAAGAATCGTACAATAAAAGTGCCGCCAAATCGAACTAAATACATTTTTGTGATTTTTCCATATTTTTTTCTTAAGTGCTCATCTGCACAGACAATTATAATATTTAAGCCTAGAAGAATAAACTCACACGGTACAAAATAAGACAGAACCAAAAATATCTTACATAAATAAAACTACATTATGAGAAAATATTTTAAATTATACATATTTTTGTCAAACTGTAAACAGCAGGTATTGAAAAATGAGGTCCATCAGGGTTACTTTTTGGAGAACAGTAAGTTTGTGTGTACGTGTGTGTGTGTGTGCGTTTCGTAGATATTTTAGTTTTTTGTTTTTTTCTTAAAGCGGTACAGCCTGTCCACGTCCTGACCGAACCGTGAAAAAAGGGGCATGGCGTCCTGAGCATCGGCAACAGCGCCCCCTGGAGCCCGCTGCGCCGAAGGAATGAGGTATTTTGTTTCAGTTGGAAAAAAAATGAAAAAAAACAACATCCGGATCCAGCGGGCCCCGCGGAGGACTGCCCGTTTCGCCAACACACCATCAACACACAAGGAAAAGACTCCAGAAGATTCCAAAACTAACTTTTTTTTACAACTCTTTTTCTTTTTTACAACAAGCGAAAAACAACCCACGGACCGGCAAATTTCACACCATCGGAAACTGAAAAAAAGAACTAAACAAAAATCCACCCGGCCACAAAAACCGGGTTTCAAGATCTGTTTGCTTTAGTGATATGACTGTTCGTAAATGAGACCAAAGTACAAGCGACGACGAAGCCAGGACCAGGACCAGGGCAGGAGCGCGGCAAGCTAACGTGCTAATGTCAGCTAACTATGCCAGTGTAGCTGCAAGAGAACAGTTAGCGGTCGATGCTAAGGCTAAGACGAAGCATTACCAACATGGGGTTTTCACTTAGACTTGCTAGATTTGTTTTATACACTACTAAACTGTCTATTTATTACTATTCTTAAACATATTTTGGACTAAAACTAGCTACAAATGCTACGTGAACTAGCTGTGTTATTTTGAAACAGCTCTAAACAACAAACTTATGATTTAAGTTGCAAAATGTTGTACCTAACGTAATGAGAATTGGCGTCACATCATGGTTTCTATCTCCTACAGCTTCTGCAGAGTTAAGTGCTAACAAGTTGATTTAAATCGACCACTTCCGAATCGGAGAGGCGTTTCAATTCAGAGATGATTGTTGCGATAAATTGATTGTTACTAGCTTTAGATTTAGCTTTGCCTGATGATGGTTGAGCAAACTGGGCTAGCATTGTTTAGTTTCTCTGCCAAAGAAGCTGCCATGTCTGCAGTTTGGATTCAGGATTCAGGTCCAAGTGAAGACTCCGGTCTCGGCACACTCCAGCGCTCCTGTCCTGGCCCGGTCCTGCACGGCTCCAGGCAGAGGTCCAAAAGTTTCCCGGTTCAAACAGAGTGAGGCTGTCGAGGTTTTCCCTGAAGCGTAAGAGGACAGAAGGCAGGTCCTCCACATTCCTCTGTGTGTGTGACAGACTATTGGCAGCAGATCAGTCAGAAGTTTAGTTATAGCACTTGAATGAACCAGGACGGAAACTTCAACATGGCTTTTCTATCACCGCAGCGTTCGCAAGCTTAGCACAACCGGGCGGAACGAGTCTGAGGCAAGACTCTGAACTGAGAGCTGACATTCAAAAGGTAAGAAAATATCCAGAGGTATCCAGACTCCAGGTCTGAGCGAGACCCGGATTCAACAGAAAACAGCAAAACTTTGGATCTGGAGGTAATTAGGTGTGTTTGTAAAGGAGTTGATTAGAAGGTCATTGTTTTGTTAGGATGCACTGCTCATAGTAGAAGTACCTGAATCGAGAGAAGCAGTGCTGGTCCCTGAGGGTCTGAGGGTAATTTGGCTCTGTGTCGAACACAGAAGACAATGCTTCAGATCGGTTTGAGTTAAAACATGGCAGAACAATAAGAACAAAACCAAAGTGAGCTTTTTGCATTATTCTTCACAAGCACGCGCTTCACACTCATACACACTTTATTGTTACTTTACACAAGAAAAATGATTGCAAAAGAGCGTTAGCCAAAAACCACTACGAAAGCTGTTGCAATGACAAACAAACACCTTAGGTGCTCCTTCTCGGAAAAGGATTTTTTTCCAGGGCAATATTTCATATCCAAAACACCGGTCTGTCCTGTGGACACATCCAGAGCTTTTGGATCACCAGCCTTCGAACAAAAGGACTGAGGGGTATTTACACCAGCATGCAAAAATATCGAGAGGGTTCACGAAACTGCCTGCCACTCCCCGCTGAGCCACAGGGGGGCACTCCTCTCTGCTCCTTCATTAAAACAGTCAAACTCAGCTCCAGTGCCTTCTCTATACATGGCCCCGCCTGAGAAAAGACAGGCGAGGCTGAGGGTAAAGCAGTACTATGTACACAGCCCACGGCCCAAAGCCAATCTCATGACCAACACCTCTTTAAGGTGTGGCCTTAGAAAAGAAACCCCGCCTCCCCAACCCTTAGCCCCGCCCACAACGTCCCGCTCCCCATTTCACAGAATCAGGCTTCAAAATACTACACTACACTAAGTCCTATGCCACTACGCCTCTCCTCAACAGAACGCCTGCCCCGTCGCGTATGCTACATCAAGGGAGCAGAGCAAAACATCAAAAGCAACAGAGTAGGTGATTTAGTCTAACATACTGCACTGGATATCTGGATATCATTGGATCCCTGAATCATCTCTGGAAAAGGCGCATTCCTTCTCCGTTTCAAGATAAAAGTTTACGACATTAGAGATCTGTATTTACAAATGCATTGTGTTCATGTCAGTGTGGGGCTTGTATAGGAACATCTATGTGCACATATAGAGCATTTCTTATTCTTAAATATGTCTAGTTAAATTAGAGGTTAGTTGTGTTTGTGTGTTATTTTTTTACATTCAGCTTTTAACAACGAGAAAGAGTTGGAAGAGATGGAAACAGAAACAAAAGTGAGATGAATTATTTCGGCAGACCCACTGTTCGTCTAAGAACGCAACCGCAACTGGACTGAGATCGGCCATCTTGTTTGACAGTATAGCAGCAAATGTATTCGAGTAAATCCCAGTTTCCTGAATATTTTGTTACCCTGGGATATTTTTGCAGAATTCCTCAAGGTTTTAGCAGTAGGAAAATGTTAATTGGCTTGTTATAAGTTGTACAAGCTTTTGGACGTACCACGTTTGGGTTGGGGTTAGGGTTCTCTACCAACTTTTTAGTTTGGCTAAATACCTAAATTCAGACGTGAAGAAACCTTATCTTGATGCACCTTTATAAAGGAGAAAGTTATGGATTACAAATGGTTGGATTATGAATTCACGAAGCCCAACTTGTATTTTAATTTCTGATCTTAAACAAAAGTGGGTTGCGAAAAGCATATTAATATAACAATGTTCACTCATCAAAGAAGGGCGGATAACGTCGATGGAGACAAAAAATGGGAGAAAAATCCAAAGAAACATGGACCTCCACTGGATGTGAAATCAACGGACGGAAAGTATAGGACGAAACGAAAGCCGAGGAGAAAGTACGATGAGTGGAGAGAGACGTAGAGGTGTGTCAAGGTCATGAAAAGTCTTAATCTGAGGTATTCTGTGTTGTACGTTTTTTTTGTTTTTTTGTTTGTTTTAGAATTCTTTACATTTTTGCACATCAAGAAACACCAAAAATGGAAAACATCATCAAAGACTGAATGAAAACCGTATAGAATTCCGTAAGTGGAACCATTGACTGCCTTAAAATCCGCTTATTCGGCAAAGCAACGGTTCAGATCGGAGTAAGGTCGATCGGAGGACGATGGTACTAGCCTCCTCTAACAGTTTATGTACAATCCTTGCTGTTAATAAAGCACTGAAAAAGTATTTGGCTGAAAAAAATGTACAGGAGTTGTCAAAAATAATAAAAATCGGGACTCGGAAAGGCCCTTTTATTAGCAGTCTCTGGACAATTTTCACCGGAAAGAGAAACCCCCATTCCGAGAACTCGCTGCTGAATATATAGATATATTTATATACTTTATCAAAACTTCCTGGCTGACTAAACTTGTGCCCAGAGTTCGGAACGCGCGTTTGACCTGTGTATTGATCGACGGCGCTCGAGAAAAGTGAATATATTACGTCTGCGAATAGTGTAGACTTCTCCGTCAGAGAAAAGGAAACAAAGATAAAAGAGACGTTTGCGATAACGGCAGTGGAGGAAAGAGGACGGGCCGCGGTTCTCTCAGAGGTGTTAGTCGATCTGGCCATATTCTAGTAAAACATTATTTTAGTGGATTGATTAAAGCTGGGGTTCCTAACTTGTTTCTCGCCAAAGTAGTACCTTTTGTCCCAACAGGGTCTTGTGAAGGTAAAAGGTCAATTTCTCTGTGTTTTACATGTTTCACTTACTTTTTTATTGAATCTTGAAGAATTTATACATTATTCCTTGTTTTTTAGCAAGCGTCCATATTATACTTCTAGATTTGGATTGAAATAGTCAACTTTGTTCATTCTTTTTAGAGGATCAACTATAGATAGATAGATATAATTATGTAACAATGTGCACATTTTATCACATGTTTTGAAATTGATCATGACTTTACTCTTTTGGCAGATGTCTCCACTTTAGGATTCATCTGTGATTTCATGAAAACATTACATTACCTATTGAATTTGTGTTTATTAGCTTCTTCATGTGTTTTCTCTCACCAAACATTAGCATAACTGGTAAATGTAACCACTTAGCTTGGGTGAACCATAGACTGTATATAGATGGACAATGCTAACCCGTTAGCTAAACAAAGCCCAAGCGGAAGTTTTGCTCCAACTCTATTGACTTAAACTATTCTAGCTCAGTGACTTTAAAAATCCACACTCTCTATGAACAGCTTTAGTAAATTACAGAAATGAGCTAACAACTGACCAATCTGGAGCCTTCTGTCGGCTTTAGCTAGCAGGTAGCACGAGTTCTGATTGGTTTACTTGGCAATTGCTACTAACAAAATTTGGTTCAACATTCCCGCTCAAACAGCCTGTTCGAGCTAGCTTAATCTACCTCTTCTGCATTTAGGCTAACACTTTGGTGACGTTAGCATTCGGTCAGTCCACTCCTAAGTCTATTTTTTTTTTCAGCATGTTAAAGATCAGATTTGAGAGTAATTTCTGTAACTTGTGTGTCGGCTTGACTCTTGATGCTGCCTATAAACTCATATACTTGATTATTTTTTAGATTTGAACCTCTTTTGAGACCCTTTAACACCACGTCGTACCCAAACCCAACCAGGCCGCATCGTGAACGTGCCTCCACTGCAGAAGACCTGATTCACCGCCGCAGAACTGCAAGCCCAGGGCCATGAATCTCCCCCAAGATTTTTTTTTATCTCAATTTTTTTCCTCCCTTGCTTCCCAAACACATTAAACCCAGCGCCTCTTTTTGCTCTGAAACATCAAAACACTAGCATCTGACACATCATACAACATGAAAAAGCCCAAGCGTTAAAATATTGAGTCTCTTTTGTGGAGAGCGATCATAAAAATTTCACCAATGGCTGAAATATTAACCAGGCGTCAAACATGCCTTATGTATAGATTTGCGTTGAGTTTGCTCTGAGAAATGTTGTATGCCGATTATAATGACTTCCCATCCCCCACCGAGCATGAAAGGGCAGCGCCTCTGTGAAAACCAAATGATTTAGTGAAGACTGCTTGCTTTTGGCCATTCAAAAAACCCCAATCGTACAGAAGTGAGTCCACGGAAAGCGGGCGAATCTCCAGGGACGATCGGCGAAGTGTCAGCCCAGAGACAGGCACGCTTCACTGGGCATGGACATGACAGATCTGGGGGGTCAGAGGTGGAGGAAGAGGATTTTTATATGTGCGGCGTTTCATCAAAGAAAGTGACAATAAAATATAAAAATAAAATCCGATGAGCCGTGATAAATACACAGTGTGTGTTTTGAATGACAAGACAATCAGAAGGTGGTAATGGAAAATGAATTTGCACACGGCAGATTCTTATTAGTTTTTTTGTTTAGATGTGAAAATTACTGTAAAAACCGACGGATTCTGTGTTTTTGTTGATGGAATAATGGCCACGTTCGATGGTGATAGACCTGTATTAAAACATTTTTGATGAAAGGGTAGCCTTGACATTATGCGTCGCAAGACTGAAATGCGTTTTCATTGCAAGAAAAATCATTGAGTGAGAGGTTTTTTGAATGAGATAATAAATAGGTCCTGGTTTGAATATGCAAAAGGAAAGACGTTAATACAAGATTTGAAGCGGTTCAATTGTGTGAAGTTGAAGTAGTATTTTCAGGGTAACCTTTGGTCTGTTTTGTAAAGACCTTTTCAAGCTTTTCCGATGAATTTAGCTTTACAAACACATGCAGATGGACCACTTCAATCAGTCCATACCGCCGCTTCAATGTACGGTTTAATTAATGGGTTTTTTAAAGATGAATAAATACTTACTTATATAATAAATGTTTTGAAGGAAGCTTGCATAATCACCGAGCAAAACGAGGCCAGTGTTTTAGAAAGAGCTCATATTGTTCAGGCTTGAGATGTCTGCATGAAAAGGAGACAAGTGCTCTAACTATTTGATTTGGGTTTGTTATTGATTTTAGTAGTCCCTCTACATGAAACTTTACGAGAAATCCTTCCACGTCGGCTCTTGCTCTGTCATTGTGAAGCAGAATTCACCAAGGTTTGGATTGTTCACGAATCTGAATAGCAGAAGTAAAGGAAAAAGATGATTAAAAAATACAGGGAAGGTTGCTGTATAGAAAGTGCCCGTGCTCAGGATCTCGCAGACGATTTACTATGTTGTTTCATGTCGTAGAATGTAAAATATGATCTTAAGTAGAAAATATATGGTCAAAAAAAATTGCTTTGTGCCTGTAAGTCCCAAGGCGACCACCAGAGGGAGGAGTAACAAATGTCATAGTTTTTGTTTTTATTCGAAAATGACCAAATACTGCCATACGACTATAAAGTATTATGAATTGCCAAAACTACTTTATGGGTGTTACTTTTGTTTAATAATACAGAAAACTGCTCGGAGGGTGATGTCACAGTCGTAGAGTTAGAAGTTCTTGATATTAGCAAAGTTGGAGCTAAAAAACAAGTCCTAGGTTGTTTTAGACCAAATACTGCCATACGATTATACATAATTATGAGTTGGATTAATGGACAATACTTTTGGGGGTGTGACGTCATAGTAGTAGTAAGTAAGTAAGTATTTATTTATATACCGCCTTTTCACTGCAGATCTGAGTCTCAAAGCGGTTTACAATTGTTAATTTTTTGGGCATTTGTCTCTCACTCCACACAGAGATGGGAGCGCGGTCGCCAGTACAGGAGGCGCATGCTAGAACTATTGGACATATTTTTAGTGGTAGGGGAAACCGGAGTACCCGGAGGAAACCTACGCAGACACGGGGAGAACATGCAAACTCCACTCAGAAAGGCCCTGGTCCGACCGGGATTCGAACCCAGGACCTTCTTGCTGAGAGGCGAGAGTGCTATCCAC